GAGGGGAGCACCGGGAAGAAAGCGTGGCGGCAGGGGAGGAAGCGTGCCTGCATGGACAACATGGCGCCGCCGTTGCGCCGCCCGATGTCGGATTCGTTGGCCTTGCGCACCTCGGCGTCAAATCCTGCGGTACAGGTGCCACAGTACCACCATACGTGCGTCGCGCGGTACAGCACATGTGCAGCACATCGGCAGCAGGGCGGCACGGCTGCAGAGCGGCGCGGCGGCGTGCCAGGAGGGGCAGCCGCAGCCTGTGTGCTGCGCAGCAGCGGCTGCCGGCCCCCGGGCAGGGCCTGCCTATCCCCCACCGCACACCAAGAACCCGGCACACAAGCCTCCCCCGCAGCGCTGGCCCCCCCCCACGCAGCCCCGCCACCCGGCACACCGCCGTCACCCGCAGCCCCGCCCCCACCACCACAGGCCAGCAGCCCGCCGCGCTAAACATCTCCCCAAACCCTAACCTTAACTCTAAAAAAAACCAAGCTTAACTTAACCAAAATAAGAACTAAGCAAGCGGCGCCCCCACCTGGCGGGAAGGGGTGGCCGTCCAGGCGGCGTACCGCGCTGAAGTGGCGCAGCTGGGAGGGGTGGTTCCACTCCTCCTGTGGGGTGGGGCGGGGTGGGGTGTGGTGGCGCGCGTGTGGTAAGCGCCGGCGGGCGGGCCAGCGGCACGGCAGCAGGCGCAGGGACGCCCCAGGGGCCTTGGCAGAGCACAGCATGGCGCGCCGCGCTTTCCTCAAAGGCGCGCCCTTGGGCGGGCCGTTGCTGCAGGCACACCCCTGCCCGCCCATTTACGCTGCTGTTTTGCCACCTCCCTCCCTGCCCCCTCCTGTCCCCGTTCTTTCTTCCTCCCTACCTGCGCCATGGGCCCGTCGGTCCGTACCGCCTGCAGGTACACCACGCTGGCAGCCACCACCTCGTTGGCGGCGCCGCCAGCTGGCACCGCCGTCTGCACGTGCAGGGCCGCCACCGTCAGCGGCGGCGCCTCCCTGCGGCGGCGGAGGCGGCGGCGGGGCGGGCGGCGGGAGATGGGGCGGAGGTCGGGCGGAGGTGTGCAGGAGGCAGGTGCAGGAGAAGGGTGCAAGAGGTGAGTGCAGTCCCTGGGTGAGCGCAGCTGCCCGCTAGCTGGCACCCCCAACCACAGCGCAGCGCAGGCACGCCAGGCGCATGTGCCTGCCCTCCCTCCCCGGCCGCCTGCCAGCCCTGGCGCGGCCGGGAGGAGGAGGGCAGGGGCGGCCTCTGCCCCGGCCCCTGCTGCCTTGCCGTGCACAGGTGGCGCCACCTCAGCGCCGTGCACAGCTGGCGCCAGCTCAGCCAGCCCACCCCCCCACCCCCAAGCTCACTTGTTGTCAGCGGGATTGGCTGTCACCTCCTTGTGCCCAGCCACCTCCACCTCCACCTTGCACCAAGACACCTGCGAACGGTACGGGCAGGCGGTACAACATGGGAGCACAGGGGGCACGACCCGACACACAGACACACCAGGAGCAGCTGCGCAACGTCGCCGCCCTCCCGGCCGCCGCCCGCGCTCCAGCCACGGCCACGACCCTGCCCGGCCCCAGCCCCAGCCTTTGCCCGCCCCCGCTGTACTGCCTGTACCGCACCCCCGTACTGCCTCCCCCGTCGCGCCTCCCACCTGCGCCTCTGCCGCCACGCGGCGCGGGTGCTTGATGCTGAGCCAGCAGGGGCCCATGATGCGCCGCTTGAGAGAGAGCGCCTCCAGCATGGACTGGTTGGTACCCAGCAGCGCGGAGAAGGTGGTACCGGACAGGCCCAGCGGCAGCGCGGGCTGGGTGGCGGGATACTTGACCTGCAGGGTGGGGTGGGGTGGGTTGGGGGAGGGAGAGCAGCAGAGGGATTGGAGCGGCGGCGAGGGTGTGGGAAGGAGAGCAGGCGGATTGGACAGCAGAGGAGGGAGGGGAGGGCAGAAGAGCTGGAGAGTAGCGGCAGGGTGGTGGGGTGGAGAGCAGAGGGAGTGGAGAGCAGAGGAGGGATAGGAGGGCAGCGGCAGGGTTGGGCAGCAGAGCGAGGGTGGTGGGCGCCTCTCTGTGTGTGTCAGTAAAAACGGGCAGGGCGGACCAGGGGCAGGCCGGGGAGTAAAGCATGCACACAGGCCGCACGCACGGAACACGTTTTCTGCTTTGTTCCGCCACCTGCGCTCAAACAAAAAATGCTACAGGGCGGCCGCAGGCCCAGCCAGGCCCAGCTGCCCAGCAGCCGCCCACCTTGAGCACCCACTGGGTGCCGTGCGGTACCGCCGGGTCCTCGAACGCGTACTGCCTCTTCACCGGCTTCATGCTCATCTGCGTCACCCGGTGCTGCGCAAGCAGGCCGCGCACCTCTGCCTTCACCTCGCTGAATGCTTGCTGCAGACGCAGAAAAAGAAAGTAGGGAAGCAAAAGAAAGAACGTATCAGTTGTGATGCGGGGGGGCAGGCGTGGGTGAGGGGTGGGGGGGCTGAGGGGTGGCCGAGAGGCGCCGCAGGGCTCGACTCGTAGCGCCGGGCATGGCAAGGAGGAGGGCAGGGCAGGGCGGGGCAGGGCAGGGTAGGGCGGCGACAGCGGGAGCGGCAGCAGCCGGCAGCCAGGCAGGGCAGCAGGCGGGCCGCGAGGCACGCAGCCGGCAGTATCAGCAGCGGCAGTGAGGTGGGGCAGTAACAGCAGAACCAGCAGCAGCAGGGCGGCAGCCGGCCGGGCGCGGGATGGAAGCAGTGGCAGGGTGGCGACGGTAGCAGGGCGGCAGCAGCATGAGGATACTGACATGCAGCAGGGGGAGCAGCTCCTTTCTCGCCGCCGGGTCTGCCGCCGCCGCCGCCTCAGCCGCCGCGATGTCGGTGCCTGCAACCGCCTTGCGCGGTACCACGTACACGTTGCGCTGCATGCCGCGCACGATGGCGCAGCAGGACAGGTGACGGTCCTGCAGGGGTACCTTGCCAAACAGGTAGACGGTACCGGGCTGGGCAGCTTCCTCGTGGGCGTCCACCAGGTAGAAAGGCAGCTGCCCGCCGCCGTCCAGCGGCAGGCTACCATCGTCGGACCACTCTGCCGCCGGTACCGCGGCGACGCCTGCGCCCAGCCAGGCGAGGGGGAGCAGAGGGAGGGGGCAGGGTGAGGGAGGGCGGCGAGGCAGGGAGGCGTGCCGGCGCCGGGAAAGCACGGCGAGGGGGCGGGCGGGGCGTTCGGCAGCTGCCAGCTCAGCACGACGTGCCGGAAGCCGGGCGGAAGCCGGGCGGGCACGCCCACCTGCCCCCGCCGCCGCCTCCTCCGCCTCCTCTGCCTCTTCTTCCTGATACATGAGCTGCCAGCCGGAGGCAGGCCCCGCGGTGGCAGGCGTGGGCGCCTCAGGCGCCAGCGGGGCGGGCGTGCGCCAGGCAGCCTTGCCGCCGCCACCGCCCGGCGCCGCGCCGCCGGGCGTGCCCTGCTTGCCCTGCTGCTGCTGCTGCTGCTGCTGCTGCTGCTGCTGCTGCTGGGCAGTCTGCGTGGGCGGCGCGTCGTGCTGAGCTGGCGCCGCCACGTCGCTTTCTTCCTCCTCCATGCCAGCTGGCATGCCGTCATCGCCGCCCAGCTCATTTGCCGGCAGCATCTCCTCGTCAGCAGCTTCAACCCCTGCTGCCTGCCCCAGCCCTGCGCCTGCCGCAGCGGGCGGCGTGCGCGCGGTGCTCGGCTTGGCTGCAGACAGGGCGGCGAGGCTGGCTGCCTTGGGTGTCACGACTGCCGCGCGGCTGGCGGCAGCCTGCAGCTGCCTGCGGGCGGGCAGGCCGGCGCGGGGGTGCGGCGCCGCGGCGGCAGGCCTGCGGCGGGGCAAGGGCAGGCAGGGGGGGCGGGGTGAAACGGCGGGACGGTCACGCCGGAACAGGATCCTGCCGATGCGCCGCGCCGGACTGGCCCCGCCCCGCCACAGCATGGCAGCAGCCGCTGCCGCCGCCGCCGCTGCATCCCAACAGCAATGGAGCAGCCAGCCACCCCGCCGCCCCAGGCCAGCTGCAGCCAGCCTGGCTGCCTGGAGGGCTGGGAGGTCTCACTTGCCGCCGCCGCCGCCGCCGCCGCCGTCCAGGCCTCCCAGAATATCGTCCAGCAGCGCATCTGCTGAGGCGTCATCCACGGCTGCCCTGGGCTTGGCCTTTGCCTGGGCGGTCTGGAACATGCGCTGCATGCGCACGCGGGCGCCTGGCACTGGCTCCGCGGCCGCCTTGCGCTTGCCGCCGGCCGCGCCTGCTTGCGCACGGGGCGCGCGTGGGGAGGGAGGGGAGGAGAGGAAAGGGAGGTTGTGGGCCGCTGGGAAGCGGATGGGGTGAGGGC